TTCATACGAAAGCGAAACAATCTGCACAGGAAATTCGGAAGGCGATGGCTTGGTGGGAAGGGGTTGAGGAATCTCGTGTTCTCATTGCACCTGGTACGCCGTCTCTCGTCTCTGCTCTGCTCCACTCCAATCGATGGCTGCCTATCGTTTTCTCTGCCTGTATCATCGTTTTCTCTTATTGGGTATTTTTAGTTTGGCTGTTGAGGTTTCGTTTTCCTTGCCTAGTATCTCATTTTTGCCTATTCATAAAAGCATTCTCTGTGCATGCCTGCAGGCATCCCCGGATTCAGCCATTCTATTGTGCACAAGAAATCAAAAAAAATTTTTGTTGAAAAACTTCACTGGAAATCAGTTACCAGGATTTGCTGACCTGGGTATTAAATAAATGTGATTCTTGTTGCTGGAAGGATTTCTCCAATAGGATTTGTAGGATCTCATCTCACTGTCATCTCCAACCAACCATGCCCAAGATACTCTCAATTTTAAAACATTTTGTATGTTGCTTCCTCATAATTACCTACATTTGAGTTTTGGATATTAAATTAGGAGGCCTTTGAAACAATGATTTTTTTTTTTTTTTTTTTTTGTTCTTGCAATTTGGTTTTATTGACCATTGCTTACGGAATTGGGCTGATGGCGTTTGAGTTTAGACATACATTAACATTTTGTTCTGTTTGATCTGTTTATTTGATGAGCTTCGAATGATTACAGATTCTGCTGCCACTGGAGATGGTGCTGGAAGTTTGCTATCACTCCGTCACCCCAAAACAGGTAATGTAACAATATCAGTTAGTGCAGTGGGCTAGTTGATTCTTTGTTCTCTGTTTGTTTTTCATTCATCTGACTGTTATTTCAATGGTCATTTTTGTAAGATGTATTTTAGCAGACATGGTAACTGAATACTGTTTTTGAGCTTTATTATAATTGTCCACTGATGTGATATCAATGGAAACCAGTTCTAAGTTAAATGTTTTATTATTATGATTCAGTAAGTCAAATACATTAAGAAGTTCAAACTGTGGGCTTACATCCTTTTGATTACTGCTTGACAGAAAACAGGACATGCTATCTCTTAAACAATGGGCTGCTTCAGGAGCTTCATTGGTTTAAGAAATCTTATGGTTCGTGGTTTTTGGGAGAGTATGTTTGTGAAGGTAGTTGTTAACTTAACTTACACTAGTCAAAACTCAAAACAATTTAAAATTTGCTAATTTTAAACCTTTTGAAGTACTAATATTTTCTTAAATGCAGATGGCCGCTTATATACTGCTACCCCAGTTGATCCAGTTTTCATTATGTTGCCTATTTTTGAAGAAGCAAGAATGAAGGTATGATACTTATAATTTATTCATCAAAACACATCTTTATTCATCCAGGTAAAAGCTTTTGCAAAAATGATATGGTTACAATGTCATGTGGCATTGTAAGCTTACAATCATGATCTGCCATCATATGATTGACTCTTTTCATTTAGGGGTCCACTCTTAATATTGTATGCATCCACTTTTTTAAAGACACATCATGATTGTAACTTGTAAGCTTACAATCCTACTTGGCATTGTAAATATCGCATTGCTGAAGCCTTTATATTGCTCAGTGCATGGGGCATCACTTTTATCTTTGACTTACTCAAATATTTCCTCTTTTTTTTTTTTTTTTGCTTCTGTTTTCAAATTGTTTGTATCTGGTTTTCTTACTATTGCTGACAGAATTTTGGAATAAATGCAGAAAGGGGATGATCCGGGAAAATTCAGGTCATTAGATGAGATACTCTTCGTCAGTGACTATCCTGGCTATCAACATTTAATGTCCATTGCAGAGAATTGCATGCAAGTTGTCTGTGAAATCAAAGGTTTCCCATTATCTGTATTCTTCTTATATATGTTTGACAGTGACAAACATTCTAAATATTGTTGTCTATGGCATACTGTCTTTTCATTTTGGTATTTGTTCTTGGTACTAGAGGGATGAGATGTTTTTTTGCCATTCAATGTACATATTTTATCTTAGCATGCAGTTAGATAGGTTGCACACTTGAAATTAGTTTTGATCAGTAAATACTCTGAACCAGATATTTTAAATTTTGGAATTATAGAAGATTACTTGGAAACTTTAATAGAAATTTGGGTTTGGACCTTCAGATTTTCTTCTGGACACAAGTTCTGACTGCCGTTGTTATAAAGCCCAGATACTATACATGTGTTGCAAGCTGATCTTTAGCTATATATTACTGTCATTGTTGGTACTCAAATTAACAATCATTAGTTCTGCTTTCTTCCTCTCTGTCTATGCAGAAATTGGATCCTCAAAGTTTTTTAGGCTTGATGATACAAAGGTCTTGGGCTGGTTATGCTACAAGGTTAGCCTTCTACTTATCAAACATGATTTTGATCCTACTTATCAAACATGATTTTGATCTGTTAGGATGCAAGAAACTTTAAAAATTCATGTTTACTTTTGTTGGAAATTCTATCATCTTGCTGTGAATGTGTGCAAAAGAGACTTTGTTGATGTTATGACTCAAAATGCTAGTGCCTTGAATTGAAAGCACACATTTATCTTTTCAGTTTACTGGATATACTCTTATTTTCACATATCAATTTAAGTGAATAAAATGTGCATGATTTAAAACCTTTGCTTATGTTTAAAACACTTGAACTGCAGGTATGCCAGTTAAAGAAGACTCTACCAGTGCTGGACCAGAACTATGCTGCTCGAGATGATAAGGACACATGTATGACCATCTACAATGTCAAACACCCCACTTAATTGCATCCCTTTCTCAACTTAAAGACACACAATAGAAAAGAAAAAGGAAACACATGTAGAGAGAGGCCTACATGTTAACACCTGACATGCATGTGACTACTCAAGAAACCTTTAATAATTAATACTGAGTTTATTTAATGAACATATTATCTTAATTTCTCTTTTTGGAAAGTTATCAACTTTGTTCATTGAAGAAGATGGGTAATTTCTCATTTATTCTCTTGGGGCAGTCGCTGATGCAGTATCCATAGTAGCAGAGTACTTGAAAAACCAGCCTTGGTTGAAGCTTTTGTGTGATCATTTCAAGTATCCCCTCCATCTCTTAAGGCTCTTTAGATATATGCAAATAATTCTGCTATATTTCTTTACAGTCCTTGGGAACACAAAAATAAAGCAGGGTTATGCTGTACAGATTAAATTTACCGGAAGCAACAACAAAACCATCAGATCTTGAAGTTCCCCCAGTTGCGATAGAAAGTAAAGAGGGTTCTAATCTCTCAAAGGTAAAGTCTACCACTTACATGTAGAACTTGCTTGTTGCTTCTGTAGTTAAGAACTACGGAGCAGTTTTCAAGTAACTTTTAGATTTTAAACTTGTTGTGATTTCTCAGGGCAAGACCAATGGTGATAGAAAGACTGCAAGAAACGCAAAGCAAACTAAGAAGGCTAAACTAGAGACAGAATCAAAGAACATCAAAGAAATGTTTACTAGGGCTTCAAGAAGAAGAGGTTGAAGATTCTCCATTGCTGAAAAAGAAGGAAACAAATGAAGAAACATCAGCAGATGCTGTTCATTAGTTGATATAATCATCTTTCTATTCCCGACTTCTCTCTTTATGCTGGCAATGACCCTAGCTAGCCTTTTATCGAGTTGAGTTGTAGGACTAAGGAGAATAGGAAAAAGAAGGGAGAGACTCTTTTCAATTGTATTTTATTCTTTACTAATTAAACCTAATGCATATTAATATTTATTCGCTTCCTGCATAAAATCCCTGGCATTCTCCCCTTATTTACGTAGCTAAAAGCCTTGGAGAGAGATATCCACCACAGCAATAGTGGTGATTTGACTTAGTTGAAATAATTAAAAATAGTGAAGGCACAATTAGCCCAAAGGAAAGCTATAAGGATTGAATTACAATCGAGATATAAGTTGAGGACCCAAAATATGAACTCTCAAGTCCTCAACTACAATTTCTCTAGTGACTAAGGTCTCTCCATTTTCTCTTGGAAGACAAAATAGGTTGCAGCAACAGGAGGAAGGCGATGGAATCGCTGTGGGAGGAAGTGAGGGAACTAAGCTTAGGAAACTCCGTAGAACGCCTAGAGTCTCCTCCGACGCCGCTCCGATTCCTCCGAGACTTTGTTTCTCAGAATAAACCCTGCATCATCTCCAATGCCATTTCCCACTGGGCGGCACTCTCTCTCTGGTCCACCCCCTCCTACCTCTCCGATGTTCTTACCGGCTCCCTCGTCTCTGTCCACCTCACCCCCAACGGCTGCGCGGATGCTCTCGCTCCACACCCTCTTCACCCCTCTTCCCTCTGCTTCGCCTCGGCCCACGTCCAGCTCACGCCGTTCCCGCAAGCCCTAAATCTCGTCCGTCAAAACCCCGAGAACCAGAGATATGTGGCGTACCTGCAGCAGCAAAATGACTGCTTCCGGACGGAGTACGGGCCGCTCAAGTCGGATTGCGATGACCACATTCCCTGGGCGTCGGAGGCGTTGGGGTGCCGTCCGGAGGCTGTGAATCTCTGGATTGGGAACCATCTCTCCGAGACTTCCTTCCACAAGGACCATTACGAAAATCTGTACGCCGTTGTTTCGGGTGAGAAGCACTTCATTCTGCTTCCCCCCACTGATGTCCACCGCATGTATATCCGGCAGTACCCTGCCGCTTGCTACTCCTATTCCGAGGTCCTTCAGAGTTCCTGAAATTAGAAAATGAAGATTTTCCGTTGTTGTTTTTCACTTAAAAAGACTGTTCTTTTGTTTTCACAGGGTACGGGAGAGTTCACTTTGGAACTTGAGAAGCCTGAAAGGTCTGTGCCATGGTGCAGTGTGGATCCTTACCCTTCTCCGGCGACTAAAGACCAGGAAAGCTCCAAATTTCCATTGTATTTCAATGGACCAAAACCGTTTCAGTGTACGGTGAAGGCTGGAGAGATGCTTTACTTGTAAGATCTTCCATTCCTAATCTTGTTTGCATACATAGTGGAGTTGATGCAGAGCTTCGTTCTGTGGACTGAGGCTAATTTGGTGGGGTAATGCAGGCCAAGTATGTGGTTTCATCATGTTAGGCAGAGTGCGGCTGATGGAGGATGCATCATTGCTGTAAACTACTGTAAGGATGATCAAGTATTTTTGTTGTGGGCTTATTTGGTTTGAGTTCTTGGGTGCTTAAATGGGAAAAAAAATCTGTTTTTGCAGGGTATGATATGCAGTTTGATATCAAGTATGCATACTTCAATTTCTTGCAATCACTGAATTACCAATCAATATGCAATCCAACAGCACTTCAAAGTAGAAGTGAGGATTCGGATTCTACTTCATCTGCTAAGCATTTGAGTAATGGAACATATGCCAATGCCACTGCAACAAATGGCATGGTGATGGAGCCAATACAAGATAGTGAAAGTGAAGATGAGTGAATGCTATTGTCTTAGCAGAGCTGAAGATTGTATGCTTCTTGAGTCTTCAAGCTGGAGCCTAGAAGGCTTCAAAAACTACATACACAGCGTATGTTTTTTGTATTTGAAACCTTCGTTTTGAAATTCAATTGAATGATTGATAAAAGAGATGGTTTGGATATGGACCATTTGATAAAGGTTAAATGTTAATTTGGGTCCTCAACTTAAGGTTTTGCATAATTTTCATTAACTTTTTTTGAACTTTTTTAATATATGAAAAATGTATTTTTTTTTTTTTTAATTTTTCAGTTAGTTAATCTGTTTAATGTATCTGAATTTACATATTTGTAGTATCTTAACTTTTAATATATACATATTTTTTATTCCTTAACTTAAAATTAAAAAATTAAAAATGTGTAGATTTAGATAGATTTAATGAATTAATTGATGAAAAATAAAAAAAATACATTTTTCATAGTTAAAGATAAAAAAAGTGTAAAAAAAATTAAAAAATGAAAATTATGTAAAATTTTAAAGTGGAGGAATTAAAGGTAGCATTTAACCTTTCATAAAATTATATTGGGCCAGAACTGTGCTATAAATTAAATTTTATAGGTCATGAAAAATTGGGCCTATAATATAGAATTTGGTGGGCTTTAGTTGCTGTACCTGAAATATATCAACTTTCCCTTTTCAGTTTTCAATTGTTCTTCCTGCAGACCAATATTTTTCCCTGAAGCTGAGCCGCTGCTTTCTGCTCTTACATTTTCTCTGCAGCCAAACAGGTCAAAAATCAGCATGGAAGTCATATCACTTCCCAATTCAAAGACGGTAACTTTCGCTAACCAATTTATGTTCAAATTGAACCGCAAGAACGGGAACGTTTGTCCAACCCCGTCTCTGCCACCCACTTCTGTTCTTCGAATTTTGCGACCCCTTCTCCGTGCAACAAAATCAGCTGTAAAGCTTCAATTCTTATCACAACCGCTCGAAATTACCTCCGATGCTGCTATCCCCACTTCCGGAAAACACATGAAGACTGCCACAGCTAGTGATGTTTTGCACTTGCTGGACAGCCTTTCTCTGCGCGTCCCTTCTGATATCTACACTTCCCTTATCAAGGAATGCACTGCCATCCGTGATTCTGCTGGAGCATTACAGTTACATGCTCACATCAAAAGGAGCCGACTTAAGCCCACCCTTAATTTGATCAACCGTCTACTTCTGATGCATGTGTCATGTGGTCACTTGGAGACTGCCCGCCAGTTGTTTGATCAAATGACCCTTAAAGATTTCAACTCTTGGGCAAACATGATTGTTGCTTATATTGACACTGGTGAGTATGAAGAGGGTATCGCTCTTTTTGTGCAAATGCAAAATTACATTTCGATGTTGAAGTTTCCTGCTTGGATCGTAGTCTGCATTTTGAAGGTGTGTGTGCTGACAAGGAATGTGGCACTGGGAAAGCAAGTACATGGGCAGTTACTCAAGTTGGGTGCTACAGATAATTTGTTTCTATCAGGGTCCATAATCAACTTCTATGGCCGATTAAAATGCTTAGATGATGCTCGCTCTGTCTTTGATCAATTGTCTTGTCGTAACACTGTTATTTGGACAGAAAAAATTGTGAACAGCTGTAGAGAGGGCCAATTCGTTGAGGCTATTCATGATTTCAATGAGATGAGTAGGGAGGGTATTAAGAGGGACAGCTTTACCTTTTCAAGTGTTCTCAAGGCATGTTCTCAATTGCATGATGATGGCAAGTGTGGTTGTCAGGTGCATGCTAGTGCCATCAAACTAGGTTTGGAATTTGATGCTTTTGTACAGTGTGGATTAATTGACATGTATGGGAAATGTGGGTTGCTGCCAGATGCAGAAAGGGAATTTGAGGCTGTTTGTGATAAGAAAAACAGCGCATGTTGGAATGCAATGCTTATGGGTTATGTGCATAATGGAGTTTGTGTTGAGGCCATTAAATTTTTGTATAAGATGAAAGAGGTTGGAATCAAGGTCCAAGAATCACTCGTTGACGAGGTTAGGATTGCTTGCTCTAGCAGTACCCTAACAAGAGAACTAGGCAAGCAAACTGATAGATGTACAGCTGAAGAATAACAATTTAATTTAACTGCAGTGGCAGAGTAGACTATTACTAAAACACTTTCACTTCCTTTGGTGAGCTTCCATGCAAACCAAAATCCACATAAAAGGCCAGTATATATATTAAACATGCAACATATGATGGTGGGACTACTGATGCTATCTGTCACCCAAACTTTTTAACCAATGATTTGAGGATTGTGACGTCTGCATTCTGACTTCCATTCTGGGCTACGATGTGTTATTTTGACTTGTGGAACTTTTGTGCCGTACCACCTTGGATATTCAAATGGTTAGCAATGTAATGGAATTTGTGATTCAGAGTTGAAATTGAGGACGGGATCATTAGCCTTTATTATAGAGATACTGATTATGCTGAATGGAGTCAATGAGCTGCTGAAATATGTAATCTCTGGAATAAGTACGTTTTCAAGATCTGGAAGATCGATTTGAGATGTTGCTTGCCATTCAGCTGTACTTGATATAAGGTGCGCTTTGCAACTTTCAAGATGGATTTGGAAATTGGTAACATTTCAAGTGTATTGCTTTTAGGAAATCTGCACCAGACTATTCAGAAAGAAAGAAAGGAAGAAACTGATTTTGTATCATGGTAAGCTGACCCTGTTCAGCACATAAAGATCTTCATAAAATAGTTTGTTCTTGCCTCTCACTTCCTTTACAACCCTTTTGTTTTCAGCAACTACCATTTTGCCAATAAATGTCTTATCAGAAATTGATTTTCTTGATGTGTATTTTCAACAGATCTTGCTTGGAAACAGCATCTCTGGATTGCATTTAGGGTCTAGATCATAATGATGAACTTTGAAGCAGTGTCCGTCTCCATCCAAAGAATGCAGTGTAGTTGATATTTCAAGGATGAAGTACAGTTGGTGAAAAAAAAGAGACAAGTTTTAAAGCATAGCTGAAGAGAGGTACGGTGCAGTGCCACAGTTTTGACACCAATACAGTAAGAGTGATGAAGCAGTTTTATTATCTCTATGAACATTTTTTTACAGTCTAATAAATATGCATGTGCATGTCCCACTTTGTGTTTAGGTATCATCACTGTGTCTTGGGACCACAAAAGATGAATTACTATGGATGCATCATCTCTTCAATATGTTAATTTTAGTGGATTATATGTTCTACCATGTAAGCCCAATTTCAGCCAATTGAGAGGGACTATTAGTTTATTGCTGGAGGAATCTTGTCTATTTAGGAGAACATTCCTGTGTGTATGCATTTTATTGTGTTTGAGTATTTTTCCTTTATCTTGGGAAAGCCTGACCCAGAGGCTTGATTAGTGTTAATTAAAATAGAGATTAAGCTTTGCAGATTGTTGGAATCTCCATTGTCCTGGTTGTGATTGAGCCCTCTATTCTGATCCACGATTGCATTTTATCTCCGTTGCAGGTATTTTGAATATCTGAGATCATTTGGTGGAACTTAAAGGCAAATTTGTTTTTAAACAAATTCTTTTCTCACAAATTTAAAATTGTCTTATTTTCTTTCAAAATCCAAATTATGAATCTAGTTTTTGAAGAATTCTCTTCAAATTTCTTTCTGAATATTTCCCACCGCAAAAATAATAATTTTAGTACTGGTGTCTCTGGATTATGATAATTGACAATTTGAAAAATGTTTTTGATACAATATTAATTAATTAATGTAATTTGTTGCATAATAATATGAGTAATTTTTAGGTTGGAAATCTGCTAGTAATACAAATTAGGAACCAGTGTCGTTTGCGGACTGCCTTACCCAGCACGACGTTCATGATACTGCCAAAAAATAACAAACTCTCCACATCTATACCAAAAATGAAATAACATCTGTTGGCATACTGGCTACCAATTAATTAGCCATAACGTTCTGTTTCCCTAAAAAAACCTCTCCTCTTAGCCGTCGCATGGCTGATCAACACAAGTATGCCACTTGCTTTGTTGTAAAATAAGGAAGTAGGATTTTCCTAACAATCATCTTCTTTCATGCAGTCAACCTCTATGCGTGATGGCTAGGATGTTAATTTTGTGTTGAAGATGCACCTTAAATCAGATTAGATGATGTTGCAAGAAGAAGAGATGCTTTCCTAAAAAATGGGTTACAAACTTGCCTCGGACAAATCCAAAAGCTTTCACATCTAGGGCCACAATGAAGTTTGTTGATTAAATTAAGCAAAAAAGAAAAAGAGAATTGGTAGAAAATAAAATTGCATTACAGAATTGGAAAGCAAATAAAGGTTAGAGTAGGCTATGTAGAGATTTTGGCATAACAAGTAAATCGAAGTAAGCAACTATTGACAAATTTTAACTAAACAATTTGCAAAAATGTAAATTGAGCATTTTAAGAATAAAATGAAGTTTTACAACATAAAGCAATGAGATTGCATTAATTATAATAAAATCTATTTACAAAATTGAAATTGGATTACATTAACAAAACTTACAAAATTATTCATCTATAAGAGAACTTATGAAGGTTAGGGATGGTAACGAGATCCCACGGGGTCGGGGAGTCCCTTCCCATTCCCATCCCAACAAATCATAAGGACATGGTTTCTTGTGGGGATTTTTGGCAAGGGACAGATTTTGCTCTCATCCTCATTCCTTGTTAATTTATATCAAAATATAAATTTTTTATATATAATTAATAATATTCAATTAAAATGAATAAATTCTAAAAATTCAAGTACAATTAATTAAAATTCTCTAAATTTAAAATCAAATATAAATTATCCAAACATAAATAAAGATCAATTCAACATAAATAACTAAACCAAAATATTTATTCCAAACATAAATAAAGATCAATCTAATAAAAATAGCAAATAGTGTCTATCAGCCTTATCTCCTAAAGATTAAAAAGAAAATCATCCAAAAATTATGTCGTTTCAATAAATTTTTATTGAAAAGACTAAATTACCTTTTTTTTTTTTTTGAACAGCGAACATATTATTTATTAATAAATAAA